TGATGACTTGTCTCTTACATCATCATAATTATCCAAAGTATCTCTCCTTCCCCCCCCCCCCAGAGTAATCCCATATAACAAATAGTACTTTTTTACAGGAAAAATAAACCAGCTTAACTGGTCAATACATTGAAAAAGTCCAAAAACCTATCCAATGTATAACACTCATGGACCTCCCACCTTCACAAAGGTGTGGGTGGGGGGGTTGGGGGTGTCCTCTTATATCTCTTCACTCAAGTCCCCTGGATCTTTGGTAATTTTGAGTCACTTTTGATTTTTTTGGTGTGCAGTTCTTCCCATCTAAATTGTAGTTACTGTGGTATTATGTTGTTTTCTCAGCTGTGCTTACTTCACTCTGCATGAGTTCATACAGATCCTTCCATGCTTCTCTGTATTCATCACACACATCATTTTTTTAACAGCAAAGTCATATTCTATTCCATTCATGTACCACAATTTGTTTGAGCCATTCCTCAATTGATGAGCATCTACTTGGTTTCCAATTCTTTATTATATATAAATATATATGCATATTTATAAACCTACCTACCTACATACCATACATATATGACTACAGGCATTTTCTAATAAGTGGTCAAAAGATACGAACAAACAGTTCTCAAAATAACTGCACAGTACTTGCAACCACATGAAAGAATGCTCCAAATCACTAATAAGAGAAATGTTAATCAAAACAACTATGAGGTTTTACCTCATCCTCTACACACAAGGGGCAGCTAGATGGCACAGTGAATAGTGCTGGGCCTAGAGTCAGGAAGATAGGTTCAAATCTAGCCTCACAATCTGAGAGACCCTGGGCAAGTCACTTAATCTGCTTGCCTAAGTTTTCCAATCTGTAAAAGGAGGATGATAATAACAGCACCTACCTTCCTAGGTTGTTGTGAAGATTAAATGAATAATTGTAAAACACTTAGCCCAGAGCCTGGCACATAGTAAGCCCTATATAAATGTTAGCTATTATTATTATCATTACTACATATTGGCAAAGATGACAAAAAAAATGTCAATAACTGATACTGTAGGGACTGGGGTATGATTAGAGATTAGGCATACTAATACACTGTTAATGGAGTTATGAAATGACAACCTTTTTATTTTGTTTTGTTTTTTTAAGAATATTTTCCCCCCAGTTACATGTAAAAAGATATCACTATTTTGGAAAACAATTTGGAATTATGTAACCAAAGTGACTAAAATCTGCAAACTTTTTGATTTGGAGAATCTTTCACTAAGCCTATAGCATAAGGAACCCACTGATAAGAAGAAAGTCTCCATATACAACAAAATATTTACGACAGTGCTGCTTGTGAGAGCAAAGAATGCAAAACAAGTTGATGCCCACTGGGGAATGGCTAAACAAAATGTGGCACATGGTATATTACTGGGCTGTAAGACATTATGTATGTGATACAGAGAAGCATGGGCAGATCTACATAAACTGATGCGGAGTGAAGGAGAGCCAAAAAAACAACATACACAATAACTACACCAATGTAAACGCAAAGAACCACATACCAAAAAAATGAAGTGAATGCAGCAAAATTATAAAGATTGAGTGTAACCTGGCATACCACTTGTGGAAGTGGGAGTTCTAACAGTAACACATTGCACATGTTTTTGGACCCTTTTCAATGCATTGATTAGTTGTGCTGATTTTTTTCCTCTCTTCTCTTTTTTTGTCATTTGTCATGTGGAAAGGCTCTTTGGGAGACGGAACTAGGAGAGAATACTGGGGAAAACTGATGATATAAGAAACAAAAAACATAAAAACTTACTAAAAATATTACCCCCTTAGAAGGGCAGTTGCTCTATGTCACTCTGGCAGTAACAAATCTCAGTTTACAAGAGTAGGGGGAATCATTCATTCATTTAACCAAGATATATTGATTAAATGCCTACTCTGTGCAAAGTACCTAGGCACCAGATGCAAAGAAGTCCTTGCTGCCTTGATGTCACTTGGGAAAGAAGTCTCCAGTGGAGTGGCTCAGGGATCTCTGCTAGGCCCTGAGCTGCTTTATTTTTAGCCACTGACCTGGATAAAGGCATAGGATGGCCTATGTATGAAACTAGCAGATAGCAAAAAAGTAGCAAGAGAGATATTAAGCATATCGGATGAAAACTGTTAACATTGAAAAAAATGTTGCTAGGTCAGAGTTTTGGGTCAAATCAAATATAACAGAATGGAATTTAATAGGAAAAAAATCTTATACCAAGATTCAAAAAAATCAGCTATACAAAGATGGAGATGCACATTTAGACAGCAGTTCATCTGGAAAAGACAGGCAGAGCCATGGATAGAGATCCTGACTTGAAGTCAAGAAGACCCGAGTTAGTCCTGCCTTGGACACTTACTGGCTGTTTGACCCTAGGCAAGTCATCTAACGTTTCCTCAACTGTAAAATGGGGACAATAGGGTTGTTGGGGGATCAAACAAGCCTTGAATTAACTGAACTGGAGATGGTTAGCCAGGAGAAGGCTTCGGATATCTGTGTGGGTTTAGATTTGGGATAAATGGTAACTACCTTCAAGCATCTAGAGGGTTATGATATGGAAGAGGGATTTGTCTAGTTCTGCATGGCCCTAGAGGGTAGAACTAAGATCAGAGAGTGGGAGTAAGGAAAAACCTCCTACCAATTAAGAGGTTAACCAGAAATGGCACGGATTGCTCATCTCAGGAGAGAGTCATTTCTTTATTGGGTATCTTTAATCACAGGTTGGATGATCACTGGGGTGTGCTGTCAGAAGGGTATTTGGGGAAGGGAGTCGTGGTTGTTCTGGTGCCTTTCCCTTCCATTCACACTGTGTGCGTCTTGTATGTACAACTTTTTCTTATTGTGAAACCCCACATCTTGGAAAAGTAACTCCTTCATGGGAAAGGTTGAAAGGACTGGAAACTCAGAGGTGGCAGATGAGGCAAGAGATACTGTAAGAATGTATTGCTCCCAGAAAGGATGCAGAGTAGGAAGAATTTTGTAGTACAATACACAGAGTCTACGATATCGTTTTTTTTTAAATTGTTGAATACAAGGAGCTGTATTCAGGTTGGCTTCCCTCCTAGGAGATGAAAAAAAAAAAGCTTCAAAATGCTCCATCTCTTCACCTTAAGGGGAACAATGAAGCATTCCTTAAAACAAACATTACTCCCCACCCCCAACACTGTGACAACCAACCACAGGTTTAAAAAAAGATCTGAAGTGGTAAACAGGAATCCTGACCTCTGTCAAGATGGTGGAGGGTGGAAGAATAACAGACCAAAGGAAGATCAGTGCATACTTGGAACAAAGAAGAAGGAACTAATCAATACTGGGTTGCAGTCAGGATCCAAAATGGTTTTCACATGCTAGAATGTTGGGTTGAGTCCAACAACCTGAAATTTAATAGGGATGCATGTAATGTAAAGTTCTATAACAGGCTAAAAAAAAATCCAACTTTGTTAAATACAAGACAGAGGTATAGCTCAGCAAGTCTGTTTGGAAGTGGACTGAAAAGTTTAATGAATCGGCATCGTGATAGTATCTAGGAAATAGCCCTACCACACTATGCTCTGGTCAGAGCACATTTACATTGGAAAATCCACCTCATTTTTCTAGAAATGTCACCTTTTAAGGATTTTTATTTCTCATCTACAGGAAAAACTGAAAACTACCTCTTGTGCATTAAGGCAGGCAGTAACTACTACTACTATTTAGATGTAAGGACATGGCTGAAGTAAGGACTCTCAAAAGTTTTCCCTTCTAAATCTAAAATTATTTAAAATTTCCATGGTATAAAACTGGTAGCATCATTTCTAACTTTTTCTTAAATAAGAGCCCCAAACGATTTACTTCAGTGTATGTGTAGTTCTACCGGAGAAATTACAGACCAATCAACTATCAAGCTAGACCTTTATTATTTCAGAAATAAGTACAACATATTTCTCCAATGGATAGATTAGCTATTGCTGGATAGCTGGTGATAAAACACATCTTGCCAGAAACAGTAATTATACCACTGCAACAATTTTGCACACTTAATTTCATTCATTAAAAAACCTCCAAAAATAACGTATTCTGTGTCATAAAATTACAAGCTTTACTTACAATGCAGTTGTTTCAAAATTAATAATGGACTGAGGGGGAAAATCTGTGGAAAAATTAACACTAATAAAAACAATATTTTATGAAGATAGAATTAATTTGGCCTCTAATTTTCAGCATTTAGTGCGGGAAGGATGCAGTAACATTGATCTTTGATAGTGCTGGAAAGTAAAATGACTCCACATTCTAAACATCAAACAGGATCTTTTTAAAAAAAAAAAGACAGATAAGCCACAATCTTTGACCTATGTTGAAAAAGCAACACCTGTGTCAATATACTTACTGTAGCAAGGTTGGAATAGGCAACCTATTTGATTCTTTTGAAGCTTTAAGTTTAAAGCAAAATATGTCTCAAAATAAATAGTTCTAGATGAAAAAAACAAAACAAAACAGAACTTACAAATATAAACTATGATAGGAATACTTGGGGGAGGTTAACATTTTGAGACTGGATGGACTGCCAAAGCACCTTCCCTATACTTGAAATACAAGCATCATATCGATATTCTAAAGGTACTGTGTCACCATGACACTGGCTGTCTTTTTAGGATAGATGTTTCACCTGAAAATATCAGGTGGGTGCTAATCATGTTAAAGACAGTTATACATCAACAACTAGACCTGATAAACCCTAACCACTGCCAGTTAACAAGTGGCAATCACTTAACACACTCTTATGGCTGAATCTAAAACTAGAGACAGGTGCTTTACAGCTCTCCTGGGGCTCTCTCTTGTACATACTTGACTCCTTTTTGGATGGCAATAAGAGTCTTTGTTAAATAATACTATGAAACAAGTAAAAAATATGATTAACCAACAGAATGTTGAAATAAAAGTGATACTACTGAAAAGTTTCATTCTTTTCCATTAGCAATTACTCAAAGATGAAAACTGGAAAGTTTATATGCTTATTTGCAAGAGAATGCTGAATTTATTCTCAAGAAAGGTAGAACTTGAAGCATCACATTGTACTGGAATATCTTAACATGCTGAAGCGGCTCTGAACTTCTGACTTCAACCAAAGCTGCTTGTACAAGAAATGATTTAATAAGTATACACACCAAGAACACAAGCAAGAGTATCTGATGAGGTCTGGATGGTTCAAAATGCAATCACTTCACTTCTTCCTGTTGCTCCCAGTTGCTAGCATGGTGGCTACTCGAATAAAGATATTCAGTGTATCCATGTAGATTGCTAACATCCTAAAAGAGAAAAAGAAGTTGATAATAATGTTCTAATGACAATTATTTGGTAAATTACCTAGAAGCAACTATTACAATCACATTATTTGCAATGGAAAAGGAAAATCTAAAAACAACTTTAATAAATGATTAGGCATCTGTAAATACCACTTTCCCTCTTTACCTTGTGTTTGACTTGGAATGTGGTAGAGTTGAAGAAGGACAAATTAGTCTGAAGCTCTACTATATATTTTTTTACCCTGAAAATAGTAAGTCTGCGAGGTAGCAACTGATCAGGTTTGTGTCAATCAAAGAAAGCAAAGCAACATAACTTTTAAAAACTTGCCAGACATTAGTCTGACATTTGCATTTATAAATGATGTCCCTTAACACCTCCCCCCTCTTACCGAAAACACTTTTTCCATTAGCACCACAAGCTTATCACTAATTGAAGTGTTATTTTTAGAAGAAAAATTAAAACATCAAATTTGCTGCTGGAGAGGTCACATAAACTCAAGCGTCAGAAACAAATGTAACCTATATTTCACTTTTTAAAAGGAAGCAAACAAAACACCTGATATTTTGTCAAAACCTAATGAAGAATCTTGACTTCAAATTACTATATTCCTACCACTTAAAAGACAGACCTCAGAATCTCTGAAAGAAAAATTTATGGCAATTTTTTTTTCTTTTGAATTTCAGCTGCCTCATATAGTTTGGACAATTTTCAAATATGCTATCTGCATCTTTATCACCAACTGTTAGTTAGCCTTCCTAAATACCATAATGCCAATTAAATTGCCAAACAATGCCAAATAATTATTTCTACTCTGCAAATACTCATAACTTATTAAACTGAATGACTCTACCATGCTATCATACCATATAGCTATAACTATGTTACTACAGGTAAAAATGAGTACAAAATCGAGTATCTATCTAGTACCTATCAGTTCTGTAAATAGGGGAAGAATCATGACCAAACAAGAGATTCAAATGAATAATTTGATTACATAAAGTTGAAATGCAAAGGAAAACAACTCTGAGGTATTACCCCACACCCATCAGACTGGGTAACAGAAAAGGAAAATGACAAATGTTGGATGAGATGTGGAAAAAATATGTACACTAATGAACTGCTGGCGGAGTAGTGAACTAGTTCAACCATTCTGGAATATACCCATAGGGCTATAAAACTGCATACCCTCTAGCACAGCAGTATTATCACTACTAGGTCTGTACCTCAAAGAGAGATTAAAAAAAAAAAAGGACCAAAATGTACAAAAATATTTATAGCAGCTTTTTGTAGTGGCAAAGCATTGGAAACTGAGAGGATGGCCATCAACTGGAGAATGACTGAAAAAATTATGGAATAGGAATGTGACCAAATACTATTGTGTTGAAAGAAATGATGCAGAGGATGGCTTTAGTAAGATCTGGGAAGACTTGTATGAACTGACACAAAGTAAAAAGAGCAGAAGCAGGAGAACAATTTATATAGGAATAGTACTATTGTAAAGATCTGTGAAAGACTTAGTAACCCTATAATTTCTTTTCTTTTTTTGGGGGGAGCAATCAGGTTAAGTGACTTGCAGCTAGTAAGTGTCTGCGGCCATATTTGAGCTCAGTTCCTCCTGACTCCAGGGTTGGTGCTCTACCTGCTGCACTAGTCGGCTGCCCCTGAGCCACTACAATTCTAAAGGACTCATAGTGAAAAATGTTATCTACCTCCAGAGAGAATACTGATAGACTCAGGGTGTAAGACTGAGCATGTTTTCTCTTTATTTTTTTTTTCCACGAACATAGCCAAATGCATAAATTTGTTTCAAATGATTACATATTTGTAATGGGGTTTTGTTTTCTTGACCTCTCAATGGGTAGGGGAGGGAATGGGGAAGAGAATCTGGAACCGAAAGTAAAAACTGAATTTTTAAAAAAGTGCCCATCTAAATAGAAACTGATGTTAACCCAACATTCTTTCTTTTTAAAAGTTTTCTGAAAAGAATGAAAATAGATATAAATGTGTAATTCCAGTAGCAATGCGGTAAGACAAGTTTTTCAAAGTAATTTAAACTCATTAAAAATGAAGCCAATCAGGTCAAACTATATAATACTTCTTTCAAGCTTAAAAGCCTAAAGATTATTTCATTCAACACTATTTAAAAAAAACAAACCATGAAAAAATCAACCTGCAGTTTTCTAACACTGGAAAATACTTACGAGTTAATGGGGTCATATCTTTCTGTTCCATACATGGGCATTATTTCTGCACGCTTGATGACTTTTTGGGTATCATACAGAAGGAACATGCTAAAAAGAACTAATCCACCATATATTGCCACAGAATAAAGACCAGCCCCAAGTGGAGTGGTAGGTGGCAGAAACATAGATCCTGAAATCAAAACGGAAAAAAGCAATTTTAGCATAGTCAGGCTTATAACTTTCATGTACTTTTTATTTCTGTTTATTTCCAAGACCAGAAAATAAGCACCCTGCACATTAACCAACATAATTAAGAGACTGCTACATTAAGACAACCAAAATGGAAAATTTGCCCAGTGAACAGCTATTCTTTGTAATTTTGTTGTTGTTTCATCAGTCATTTTTCAGTTGTGTCCCACTCTTTGTGACCCCATTTGGGATTTTCTTCACAAAGATAATGGAGTGGTTTGCCATTTGCTTTTTCAGCTCATTTTATAGATGAGGAACTGAGGCAAACAGGGTTAAGTAATTTGCCCAGAGTCACAAAGCTAGTGAAGTATCTCAGGCCAGATCTGAACTCAGGAAGATGAGTCTTCCTGACTCTAGGCCTGGCACTCTATCTACTGTGCCACCTAGCTGCCCATTCTTTGTAATAACCATGAATTATCCTCATATTCACAGAATCTTAAGACTTGGAGCAGGAAGAGACAGCCTTAGAGATCAATTAATCCAATCCCCTCATTTTTAGAGGCAAGAAAACTAAGGCTCAGTGAGATAAAATGACTTGGCCAAGGCAAGCAGCATCGTCAGGACTGGGTCCAGTACTCCTTCCGTTATGCTACAAAGCTCTACTCCTCATCTGTTTTATTAGGCCTCTTTTCAGGGGTGGGGAACCTTCGGCCTTGAGGCCACATGTGGTCTTCTAGGTCCTTAAGTGCCGTCTTTTGACTAAGTTCAAGTTTCACACAACAAATCCTTTTATTAAGGGGATTTGTTGTGTGAAGTTTGGATTCAGTCAAAGGGCTGCTCTTGAGAATCTAGAGGGCCACACGTGGCCTCAAGGCCGCAAGTTCTTCACCCCTGGCATAACTGATGTCTAGTGATACTTATTTAGACCAACTGTGATAATATCCATTTAAAAGCCTATTTCATAGGATGCCAGCTAATAAAAATTACATTTAATATAAATACATTTATGTAACTCCTAAAAATAATCAACCTCCTATTTAAATTATTCAAGTTATTTGTTATAAATCATGGTACAGAATAAACAGATTAAAAGTAATCATGCTTACCCAAAGAAGAAACAAAAACAACACCCAGGCCCACTCCCAGTGGTGCTCCCATGTTCAGAAATTTTTCACTTGGAGCACACATGGCTACAGTAGAGAGGCCACCCACAATGCCTGCTGTATACCAAAGAGCTTTGAGGATCAAAGGGCCACCCAACAAAGTCAAAGGGGCCACTACTGTACCCATGACACCTAGGGAAATGAAAGGAATTTAAATATTATATAAACCAATATACATTTTATGCAATTATTTAACAAGACATTTTTCTTTACTTAGGAATAAAGCTAGTAGTTGTATAGTCACAAAGCCTTATGGAGTCTCAAAAAAATTGTACTATATACCAAAATATCACTATTGTTACAAACATTCTTGGAACTACCTAAATTATACGAATATATATCACATATTACCAAAAAGTAAAAGACTTAAGAGAATATCAATCCAGATGAATAAAATTCTTTTCAACTTTTTAAACAGATGCAATCCCCAAAGACAAATTTCTTATGACAACATAAATGTACACCAATGTTGAAACAAAGCAAGCTTAAATGAGTAGCTCAAAGCTAAACATGATAGCAGATTTCATAAGCCAAATGCTGAAAGGACAAAATAGAATAAATGGAAGGATAATGATAATCTTACTTAGGCCACAAGACTCCTGTGGAAGAATAATGCTCCAGTTATATGTAAAAAGCATTTTTAAAAAAAATTGTCACACATATGTAAGTAAGCTTTTTACAAGAATTAAGGACAAAGATGATAATATTTTAAATAAACAAAAGTAAATTGTGATGTCTTCTGGAGCTAACAATATCTCTATACTAAATTGCCCGTGTAACCAATTTTGTAAAAATCTCCTATGACCATCTCCATTATTAAATAAAAGAAATGTTTAGTGTAGCTTACTATAACGACTAACTTAAAATATTTCTTCTCACTAAAGACAGGAAACTGTCAATGAATATAAGTCTCTTATACGCCATTCATGATTTGTCAGTTGCAATTCACAGCAGAATTTTGGGGTTGATAGACAAGTTCAAGTACATTTCAGTAGAAAAAAGCAAGCTCCTTATTTATGAAAACAGAAGATGTTTCATTTTTGTCTTTTGTGTCTCTTGTACTAGGTAGTGTATGAATTTAATGTCTATGAATTGATTGGTGAGAATGGTTTATATTATGCTTTTGCATTACTATACTATTCTAGAATATAAAATGAATATTTGAATTTTTAAAATGAGAAATACTAGGTATAAGAAAAAAGCATGGTTATGTTAAACACTTTCAAAAATAACTTAAGAAATTCTTAGATCCTCTAGTAATTTTGTATAAAAAAGTATGAAAACATTCTAAACAGCTATACAACAGAGGCCTGCTATTCATTTAACAACAACATAATGAGGACTATTATGTTGTATAATAGGTATGATTCATAATACCCTTTGACCCCTTTAAATAATGTGCATAGTACAATGCTGTGGTGTCACGGCCCCCTGAAAGTACCCTGCAATAGACAATCTTTTTCTGATGAGCTCAGCTCCTCTGACTTCAGCCAATCTAGTCTTCAGACAGAAGACAGAGTCTGTGGGCCCATGCTTCAAGTTTTCTGAGCTTGTGGAACTTAAGTTAATGGTCAATGTTGGCTTAAGATAACCTGGGGTCACTTTCCATGCACCCAATATTGACTTTTGTCCACCTATACTTAAAAGAGAGTCAGCAAGTATTATAAACTCATGAAGAAAATCACTTTACCATAAAAGCTAATGAAAACAATTAGGCTTGCTAAAGATGTCTTGCCTTTAGAAATTAATTGCCAATAGTAATTTCAAGAACCTCAAACACAATCCTTCAGTTTTAAGGGGGAAAAAACATATTATAGCATTTTAACTCCAGTTATTTTTTACATTAAGAAACCATCCATTTCTGTACCTTAACATACTTAACTCTAAACTCAAAATAGCTACTATTCTTGTATCAGACAAGACAGACATTATTCCTACTCTGTAGGGCTTTCGGATTTAAATGTTATCTTTTCACAAACATTAAAAATATGCTATGTCTTAACTCTTTGTACAGTTTTAAAATATAACCTTAAAGACTGATAATTTTGTTTCTATCAACATTCTACTTATCTGTAAAGGAACACTGATTTTATCACAAATTGCTTCTAAATTTAAGTAGACAACATTCCTTACAAGTTGTTTGTCTCTAATAGAGCACCGTAGAGAACAATACTTGAAGATAATTAATATATTTTTAAACCATGGAAGACATACCAGAATGGCACATCCAAGCAAGATGTTTTAGGCCTGGGCTCCGTTCATATGATATTGACCGAACCAGCACTCCAGCTCCAATCATGGCTGCAAAAGTTGCTCCAATTGTCTATAAGATGCAGAGTATTACTAGGAAAAATTATCCTTGCTTTGCTTTGTTTTTGTAAATCCAGAAATACTAAACATTACCATTTATCTTTAAGGCTTAAAAAGGGAAGATAGTATTATATATACCTCCCAACCTCAATCCAGATACGAGGTTATCTTTTCAATTTTTGAACTTTCTTTAAATATGTTTAGCAACAGCTCCCTCTGCTGTTTACATAAGTCTTAGAAATTCTTCGGAACAAGTTGGAAGAACAGTTAAGAGTCTGGGACATGTGAGGATTTTCAGGCACTACATTCAGCTTCCATTAGCAGCTGACCATCAGGCAAGTCACTTAACCCCTTACTGCTCAGGAAACTCTTTGAGACTTTAGAGTACAGATGAGTTGCCAATCTATATGGTAGAGAGAGTTTCTACTCTAGAAAACCACCAATGAACCCCATGCACCCAAATTACATTAAATTAGATCAGTATACTAACATGCTATATACCAAAGACATATTTTGTTGTAGTTTATTGTATGAAATGTGATCATTTTCTACAAAAAATTTATTCGAAACCAATTTTTCATGTTATTAACAGACATGTATATTATAGTGATTCCTCAGTTATCAGGTACAACTTGCCTTGATAATAACATTTTTCTAGATAAGAGAATTCTCAAAATAAATGATGCTTGATCTTCTAAGTGCCAATAACTGATATTATTGATGTAAATTTTTCTAAGATGTATCCTTGAATTTTCTTTAATAGAGTACACTGAACATAATTTTATGAAAGGACTGATTCTGATGTCTTTTCAAGTTCTTGATACCTCCACGTACCTGCCCTTTCACTGATTTTCCTCCAAACTGTCATGCCATTCTAACTGATAATTCTCTCTATCTTCAACATATTCTTTAACAGCTTTAAAAGAAAAAATTCCAAATGAACTTACCAACCAAGAGCCTTTCATCATAAAGGTCATTAAAGCAGGTGATCGGCTAACTGCTAAGGCAGACAATGCTGTCAAACCAACACTCCCCGCGAAATACATATAGGTGGCATGAATTCTATCCTTCACATACTGTGGCCAGATTCTGTAAGAAACAAATATGACAGATGGCTAAGACTGTTTTGGGGGTTAATTTCATGGATTTTAATATTGAGTTCTTATCACGCTTTGATTTAGTTTTAGCTAGGTAAGTCCAATAAAGCTGCAAGAAGCAGTTCCACTTTTATTAATATGTTTATTTCTATGAAGCTGACTCGTGGCAAAATATTTCTCAAGTGGCTGATGATATCTGCAGTGAGAAAACAATGAAACTTAAAGACAATGATACTTTAGGTGATTTACTTACACTGCTTTTTCAATAGCCCCAATCTCATTTGACATTCCCAAGCCATAGAAGCAGAGTGCTCCAAGACCAACAGCAGCTCCTCCAGCAACAAACCATCTTCCCATCTGATCAACTGCAGAGGACAGGAGAAAGGACTCTTAGCATCTGAATTGGCAAGTATTAATGGTATGACCTCAATGTAAAGTTTATCTTAGAAGAAACAGTATGAAAATTTGCTTTGTAGCAGTCTGATCACAACATTTTAAATCTTTTATTTAAAAAACAGGTTTTGAATATAATTTTACCTGAAGTGAATGCTAATTTATATAATCAATTTTTATAACAGAAGGTAAGGGGAAGGCTCAATTTCCTTAAGATAAAGCTTCAGTTACTTTTGCCTTTCAGCAAATTAAATCCCGACTCTACACCAAGAATCAGTAAATAACAAAATGTCATCATTCCACAACACAAATAACATTTAGTTTTAAGTTCAAAAGCTATATTCAAGCTGATTTCTTTTAAGATCATTTGTTTAGAGAAGACAAACACTATTTCCTCGGACAGTGTCTTTAAAACCATATAGTAAAATCCAGTATACCACATTTCCCTTCAAAATTGGCTACTGAATTCAATAGTTACAGAATTCTAGAATTATTAATTCTTCAATACTAATGAATGATATTGTCAAAGTTGAAAAAAACTTAGATTCACACTGTTGCCTACTTTTAAACACCCTTTCTGCTGATGGCTCGAATGCAGCTTCCTTAATTTCTTGGCCAGTTCTTCCACGTCGGACCCCAATTCTTGATTTGGTGGCATAGCCCTTATATATTTTTAAAAAAAGAAAAAAAAGTGAGTTACAAATAATATAACTAGCTTGTAAAGTGTATTTCTGCATTGGAAAAATGTGTGAGACGGAATTTTCTTTTAAGTTACTATGATAACATATCTGAAATAAAATACCTGAAATTCAATTCCACACACATTTATCAAGTACCTACTATGTGCAGGGAGGCATTCATTATGTTCAAGAGCTGGGGATACAAAGATGAAATAAGACACAAGCCACCAAGAAGCTCATGGTCTGGTGGGGAAGACAAAACATCGACACAATTTAGAAATAACAGATCCATACACTACTGTGGAATTAGAGCTATAAAAGATTATTTCCAGCTTGAGGGGAAAAAAGAAGGCTTCATGGAGGTTAATATTGGGAAGAAGGAGAGAAAAAGGCACTCCATTCTGGATACTGGCAGGGGCGTGGGGTGAAACCAGTATACAGGTATAGAGAAAGGTGAAAAGAGGACAAGAACAAGGGATGGGGAATACTGCAGTTTTGCTTCACGGGAAGGGGAGCAGTGTGAGAATGATGAAAGCATAGGTTACAGCCACAATACGGAGGACGCTGCCAGGCTAAGGAATCATATTTTATTCAGCAGGCAAGGGGTAACAATGTGACTGCATCATTAGATACACAGAGAACGAGAGCTTGTTAACTAATGGGACAGAGGGGTTGTGGGATAAGTGGCATGAGGAAAGAGAAATTCTGGATTAAGAGTCTCAAAGATTAGTAGAGTTGCAGTAAAACAGAGAGAAATAAGGGTGAGGAAGAGTAGGTTTTCTGGGAAAACAGGGAGTTCAGTTTGGATTTATTAAATTATTTCCACTGGGAAATGCAGGCTGAGCTATCCAGCACAGTTAGAGGGAAATGTGGGACTGGCATGTGGGGGAGAACAGTAGATATGGTCATCTAGATTAAGAAATTGTCCATATACCCCCAAATTCTGAATCTTCAATATCTTTATGATGCCTTCATTCTTCTAAAACTTCTCTGCAAATATCACTGCCCTCTGTATCACCAAATTCAAAGGCATTTTTTCAGTCGCTATCCTCCCTGACCTCTTCAACGACAATGTCAAACATGCTATCTCAAATGCTGTTTCCCCTATCCCATCCCTTCTAGAGGTAAAACCATTCTTTTAGCTTCCCTGCTTCTTTGATCCCTCCTCAGTCCTCTTCCTGTTCTAGTCACCCCAAGGTGCTATTCTCGTTCTTTACATACACTCTCTCCTTCAGCCATTGTATTCACCCCCACAGACTCAACTGTTATAATTATCTCTCTTGGGCTTCAGAACTGCATTTCTAACTGCCTACTTAAGACACATTTTGAATAACAGAACCTGAAGTTTACCACCAAGTCCAAGAGAATCTAGCTTTCCCAAACTTGCTCCCTTTGGTTTGTTTCTGTCAAAAGGCACTACCATTCATCCTGCTACTCACAGACAAAACCTTCAGCTCTATGACCTTTCTTATATACAGGTTAATTTCATCATGTCACCCCGCAACTCAAACATCTTTCATAGTTTTAGACTAGCTATCGAATTCTAAACTCAGCCTAGGCATGCCTCTCTATCTTTCTAGGTTTATTTCTCACCATTTATTTCCCCCATCTCATGGTCATTTCTTAGCAAACAGGGCTACTTGCTATCTTTTATCTATCACATTACATTTTACCAGCACTGTGCCTTTGACCACGCTCTTCTTTCTTATCCTAGAACAGCCGTCGTTTATGTTGTTTCACCGGAAACCCTTCAGATTCTGCCTCTAATGTTGGCTACTCATGAACCTTCCTCTGATCTTCCCATTTGGAAATGATCTTTATTCTGCTCTTGTTAACTCCACTCAAAGTATTTTACTCTATTTGTCAATCACTGACTGCATATTTGTACATATTTGTACACTTGTCTAAGTGCCATATACAGCTTGGTGGTGCAATGGATAGAGTGCTGGGACTGAAGTCAGGAAGACTTGAATTCAAATCCAGCCTTAGACACTTCCTGTGTGATCCTGGACAAGGCACTTAACCTCTGTTTGCCTTGGTTTCCTCAACTGTAAAAGAGATAATTTTTTATCTCAGAGGGTTGTTGTGAGGAATAAAATATCTGCACAGCACTTAGCCTGTAGGTACTTACAGAAACGCTTATTCTGCCCCCGCCTCCCAAGAACTCTCCCCTCTCCACAAAGCTGGATTGACACAAGGAAAGAGACCATGTCCTGCTTAGCACCATACTTTGCACACAGTATATGATACTTAATGTTTGCTGAACAAAAGGCAAAGAAAAGCTAATTATAATTAGTATGCCTAATAACTTCCATATCCCATATATTACTAAGTTATGAGACCCCAAAACAAACTATAGTTGCATTTCATTTTTTAGTGAAATTTTTGCAAACATAGTCAAAAAATTTTTTGGACTATAGTGGCATTATTACTTTTTCCAAATATAAAACTGAAAGAAAAAGATTATAACTAGATGCAATACTGCAAATTGAAGAACTCACTGGATCTAACAGTGAATAAAATGGATAAGAGGAACAGGTAAAGAGAAAGCTTTTGATCATGTTATCACTGAAAAAGAAAGGTGATTTGTGGGGACAAGGTCTGAAGCATATACACATACACACACTATATATACACATGGAAAGAGCCTGCATGTTAGATAAAAGTCATTTCGTTATGTCATAGCAATGAACCTTTGGGGTTCCCTGGTAACTCTCTTGTTGTGTCCCTGAGTGAGTCTTGTGCCTCCAGCTATGCTGCAAGTCACCCTTTCTTACTGTCTCAGGAGTGCTTCTGTATGAGATATAAAGGGACTGGGAGTTTATGCTGTCTCCTTGCTTAGTGAATAATGTTTTCAAAGAAGGTTCTACAAAATGTTGAATAAATTCAAATTTTACTTACTCTGTTGGATTGCAAGAGCCATTGATTTGTCTTCAGAACGGAATTCCTCAGAACAGGAGAGGTCTTTGTAAGTGCTGTGTGGAGAGTACTGGAAGGTAGGGTCAGGGTCCGCAGACACACAAACCTTGCTGCCAGCATGGTGTTGCAACAGGTTCACTGATTATTTCTGAAATGCTTTTAAAAATTAAGATCTATTAGGTAAAATAAAGCCCTGGGGTGGAAAAATCTCAGAAAGGTTACACTTCTAAATTCTTATTTAAAATTCTGGAGTAGGAAGTGGGAAGGCCCCAAGCTTTCTGCTCCTTAGTAGTCTGTGTGACCTTAGGCGACAAATATTTCTCACCCTCCTTCTTGGGCCTCAATTTCCCTCTCTGTAATATCAAATGGTGTTGGCCTCACATACTAAACATATTAGTATAAGAATCAAGACAACCTTATATAGTTGTCTCTTTTTAAGCATGGCTAAGGGGAGGGCATTTATGTAAGTGCCTACTATGTGCTTGGTAGTGTGCCAAGTACTTTACAAATATCCTGGGGGGGAGGGGGAGGGAAGAGAGAGGGGAAATAAAGTAAATAGCAAACAACTTTTTGCTTTCCAGGAATTTCAATTGAAACATTGGGAGGGAGAAATGAAACTCTTAGTTGCTGCTGTTTCTAAATTTGAGTGATAAACAATTGCTGTTGTTTACCACACAAAGCCACCATTCTTTATCAAGTCTCAATCTCTTCACCATCTAGCCATGTCAATTTCCCTAATGCTGACCACCTATAGAATTCACTGTGGTATTTAATATTATACTAAAAGGCAGTATAAGTTTAAAGGCTTAAATATTATGCACTTAATGTAGAATGAGATTTCAGTGCTTTATGAACAAGGATTTTATATTTTTTTTGCATAAAACCACAGTATTTACCTATCTAGCCCACAGTAGGCAAAAACTATTTGACGTGAGTCATGAACCAGTCATACTTAGTATAATGAATGCCTTTTATAAAAATCACATACCATTATCCTGAAAGGCACTGGAAAAAACGGTCCCTTAAATCAGAGGTTTTAGGACCAAATGAAAATATGGATTGGTGATTATATTTTAAAATCTGCTTGTAGCTTAAGAGACTGACCTAGCCTTTCTGGCATAGTTTTAATTAACTGGTAACTGTCCTCTATGGGGAATGCTAACATCATAGGGCATTATCACATTCTCAAGGAGTTAATATTTAAGTCAAATAATTTACTCAAGATCACAGCTTTTTTTAGTTTAGAAAGTATCAGACAGTAACAATTTCATTTATATATCACACAAACCAGGACATACCACCATAAGGCATAATCCATAACACGTTTCATATGTCTAACCCATGAACTTTTACTTAAATACTCAGAACGATTTGAACTTATTTCCCTCGCACCAAAAATTACCACAAAGTTTTGCTGGGGTCAGATGTCCTATGGTGCTTCCCAATCATAAGTATGTTACCTGATGCCAAGGAAAATGGGGCTTGGATAACTCCAGGGCTTATGATATAATGGGCTGGGCAACTGGTGTCAGGTGTCTCAACTTCCTGTTATCAGTTTCTTTCATGGACTAGCAATAGTAGCAGCAACTGCCCCCACAGTTAATCGATCAATCAACAAGCATTTATGAAGCTCCTACTATGTGCCAGGCACACTGTGGTAAATACTACGGGATACAAAGCAAAGTAAAAGACACTCCCTGCCCTGGAGAAACTTATTATTGTTGTTTGTCCTTCCTTCTTGAAGAGGACCATGTCATCAGGGAGGTGATGCAATGGCATGCAAGTGAATTGGATTCAAGTGAGGGAGGGCTGTGCAAAGTCACTGGCCTTCTCTTCTGCAGCCATCTGGGTCCAGTGGCCAGACAGAGATGGAGATGGCCCAGGATGCAGTGGGAGACCTTGGCTTTTTTAAGCAGTTCTCAGTTTGACTGAGGCAAAGCCCATTAAGGCTAAACAAGAAATAAGGCAGAGAATGGCCTCCTTACCTAGTTTCAAAAAAAAAAATTCAATGGGGGGGGAAGGTGGAGGGGTTTCTGGCCGAAACAGAAACTGCTATTTACATTTACTCTGAGCCAATCAGGGCCCAAACCAAGTAGGGCTGGGACTGGGACTTATTGTTGGCCAGTCAATGAGAGTCAGAGTGATTTAAGGCTCGTCCTTAAAACATTTTTTTTTTCAGAGATCAAAATTTATATTCCCTTTGGACAGACCACCCGCAGATAAGGGCATTAGTATATGTGGACAGAGGGAAGGGAAAGAAAAAAAGGAGAAGAAAGCTGTGTTGTCAAACTGTCCAGTCTGGTCACTAGTGGGGCAACAACTTTTCCATTCACAGAGGTTGGTGGTCCTTCATTCTAGAAGAGGACCATGACATTGGGCTTATTACAAGAACACCAAACCACTAAGTTGAGGGAATACTACCAGTGAAAGATGTACTCAGAAATTTTCACTTAATTACATCAGGAGTGTTTACAACCCTAGAACGTCAAGGTCAGGAACCAATAGGTGCTGTAAATTCCTCCTTAAGACAGATGAAGGCGAGGATGTCCGGTGAATTACCCTGCTGCCCAAGGCCAGAAGTAAAACACACACATGCCTCTTGACTGAAAGTGGGGAGGGAGCACTTCCTGTCTTCACTCCCAAGACCATGAAAACTGTTACCACCTCCTCCCCTATTCCCATGGAAGCCATGGGAATGGGCAGCCTGGTCTAATGAACAGGATGAGCATTGGTTCCAGTCCAGGACTTGCATTTGGTATTTTATCTGTTCTTGGGCAAGTCATGTTACCTCTACTGGCCTGAGCTTCCTGTCTGTAAAATGAGGGGAGTCTGGTTAGATGATCTCGAAGGTCTGTGGATCAAGTCAGCAAACACACATTAAGCCCCACTGTGTGCCAGGCCCCATGCTAAGTGCTATGACCTTCTGGGGGTTTATTTAACCTTTCCTTTTTCCGTTCGGGCAGCGCCCAAGGGAAGGGGGCCTTGGGGCGAGACTGCCTTCGGGAATGACTCAGCACAGCATCCCGCCGCCCAGGTGGATCCCCGCCCCCTCTACTCTTGGACAAAGAAAAGGCCCCAAGTTCTGCCCCTTACTTGCGGTCTGACCTTAGGCCGCAGGCGTTTCTCACTCCCCCCCCCTTGGGTCTCAGTTTCTCCCTCTGTAACATGATGGAGATGGCTTCGGTGACCTCTAGGTCCTACGATCTGACCTTGGGAAGTCTCTTCCTCAGCCCCAGGCCTCAGTTTCTCCCTCTGTAACACGACGGGCATGGTATCGGTGACCATTACTAGGCCTAACGGTCTAACTTTGGGGAAGTCGTTACCCACCACCCCAAAACTTCAGTTTCCCTTTCGGTAAAGTAAATGGGGGGTGGGCTGGACGAACTCTAAGGCCCCTCCCCGGTTTCCTGACCCCAGCCTCCCTTTTCCGAAGGAGGGGAGATGAAAAAGGATAAGGGGGCGGTGACGCAGGCACACAGTCGCAGCCCCCAACGGTTCCCAACAGCCCCACTGGGGCAGGGCAGGCAAGGAGGGGAGCGGGGAGGTGGGTGGGGAGATCGGGGTACCTCACTCCTGCTGGTCTGTTCAGCGGCGCGTGCGGCCTCCTGATCTGGTCAAAGGCGCAAACGCCAGACCCTCCACCCCGCCCTCCGCCTCCGCCACCACCTCCTTCGTCTTCTTTCCTTCCTTTCGTGCCCGAGCGGCGTGCGTATTTCCTAGAGGCCACGCATAGAGCGAACGGTCAGAAGGAGCCAATCAGGAGGAGGCCGCTGCCGGCGGAAGGGCGGGCCCAAGGGCGAAGAGCCAGTCGCAGTCTCTTGGAAGGCTGGCGCGATGACGTATCCCTGCGTCACAGTGCGGGATGGTGGCGACGCCTGGGGAAGCAGGCGCGTCCATGTTAGGTGGGGGCAGTGTAGCTGTCCAGTCACGTGGCCTCTCCTCCGTTCCGCTCTCTCCTGGGCTTCCCCACCAGTTTCCAGAGAGTTCCTAGGGAGTCGCAGGCACCAGCCCAAGTTGCATTTGAACCTCACCCCAAATGTTTTAAGCCCCCAGGCATACACTTCGCACACAATTAACTCCTATTAAGCCTGGGGAGGCTTTGGGGACCTGGAGCCTGGTGAACCTGAGTTCAAATCCTGTCTCAGACACCTGTTACCTCTATGACCTCCCAAGTCCCTAACATCTGCTTAGCTCAGTTTCAACATCTGTAAAATAGGGATAACAAATTTCTACAGTGGTTGTGCCGATAAAATGAGATATTTGTAAAGTGCTTTTCAAGCCTTATGATGCTACATAAATGCTATTGTGAGAGATGGTTTCTCAGAAGTGAAGCCTCCTCCAAGGGTCATTAGTTCTTGTTAATGGTTCTGGTATTGACTAAGTGAAGACCCTCAGAATATAAGACCGCCTACCTTAGCCTTCTCCTTCCCCTACTCTTAGATAGTGTTAGCAGAAATTCCTGAGTCATAAGAGCATCCTATCTCATTCTCTAGCTAGTTATATGACCTTGGTAAAAGGCTGCTGAAACTGTGAGGCCCTGAAAAGGGGAACATGCTAACATAATTTCTATACCTCTTTGTTCTCTCTGTTACTGGGGTAGTTTTTACATGAATAGAGTGTATACCTGAGGCTCAGTCAACAAGCCGAGGAGAAGGGGGTTAGGGTGGACTGCTGAGTTAGGGTCTATATAATCTTGCCTTAAACAAAAGAGCACTCACACTCTCTGGGGCAGCTTAGGCAGCACGGGGGTGCACTTTCTCAAGAAAGTCAATGAAGAGATCAATGTGAGATCTCTCAGATGGACTGAGTGTCCCAATGTCTTAGACTGTTGCAAACTCAAGGTGGGTTACACTAACCTGAATAGGCCTAAGTTTCAGGTTCCTACAAATCACATTATTTGTATGGTTCCATCAACATTCAGTAATGGCTAATTACTAAATAAGGATAAATAGCTAGGATTGGTAGTATTATAATGTGGTTTCTTGTTTCTGGGGTAGATTTTCATGTTTTAGATTGTAAAGGTGAAATTCCTGTCCAATGGAAATTCAAAGCCAGTGGTGGGTGGGTATCTCTGAGTTAGGGCTATATAACCTTTGTCCTCGCCTTTGTGCCTTGCCTGACTTCCCTGGGACTGCCCAATGAAGCAGACGCCCACTTCTTGCGAGAACGTAATAAATCTTTCAATGGTTCTATTTTTCATTCCCCTTTCTCCTGCTCTCGGTCGGCCAACAATTCTCTTTATGCACCTTCTTGTTTACTCTCTACCCACTCCCTCCCCTAACCCACCATTTAGCAATGGGAATTTGATCCAAAAGTGGATGATTTCTGCTGGAATTTTAGAAAAGCCTTTGGAAGTCTCGGACCACCTTAGCGGTTAAAACAACAAAACAAAACCAGTTAATAGCTCAAAGAGATCTTCCCCTTATTGTCTTTCAGGTCTGGATCCAGTATCTATTCTTTCAGAATCTGAATCACAATCAAGTTTTTGAAATGGCCAAAGGAGAAGAATTTGTGGCAATATACTATTTAAGCATCCTAAACTTTCTCTCCTAAGGGCAGTGATTCTCTGGATTGGCTACAGCTAGGACCTAGAAATGGGGCCCATTGCACCAGACCACTGACTGTCCTCAGAAGGGGGTGGTAGCAACAGAAGAAAAGCCTGAAGCCAACCTGGTTGTGGTCTGGGCCACAGACATGAAGAGCAGCAGATGAGAAGTTGACATTATTATTAAAAACCACGATGTGACTATTCAGTGAGTACTACGACTAAGAAGGATGGAGTTAGACACGATTTCTGAATGGTTTGTACCTGTTTAGATTTAGGCATATCACCGTGCAGGTCTTCACAAGTAACAGATGGATTCCTATAAAGTGGCTTAGGTAGGATCATAATCTTCAGAGTTGTAAGTGGGGGAGGGAGTAGTTAGGGTGGATAATTTAGAGGTGATTGTTGCCGGGCCTTCCCTCATCCTAATGCACCTTTTTGTCCTTCACAAACTTACAAACTTCACTGTGGTAAAAAAGGAGAATTGAGGCTTACTCCTCTCACAGGTGACTGACAACCATGATTAGCCCAACACTCCTCCCTTGCACCAGGTGGAAGAACCTGATGATAATGACAGGTTAGTGACATCAAATACTACTGATTAAGTTGTCCTATCTCTCCATATCATATGAAAAGTAACAAAGACATATATAGCCTTTGTCCTCTGGGAGCTTTTGATGCAAGAGAAAGGTCTACACAAAGGTCCTCAAGACAAAAATTAGACAGCAAACAAGTTAGGGTTCAATAAAATTTCTTTGGATCTAGGAGCCAGTCCCCAGATATATTTCTTTATTTATTTTCAAAAGAGAAAAAAATTAAATGAAAAATAGTCCCTGATCTAAAAGAATTTACATTTTACAATAGCCACAAAGGTAAATAAATTGAAGATAATTTGAGGATAAAGCACTAACTAACCTCTAGGGATGGGGTTCTTGACTTTTTTGTGTGTGTCCTGGACTCCTTTGGCAGTCTTGCAGAAAAAAATGTTTTGAAATGCATAACATAAAATCATTGGATGACGTAGGAAGCCAATTATATTGAAATACAGTTATCAAACTTTTTTTAATAAACAAGCTCATGGACTGCAGGTTAAGAACTCCTGCTCTAGGATTCTGAGAGGTGCACATGGGTAGGGGTTCCATTAGAATGCTGTGTTAACAAGAACTTTTTTTTCCATATTCCTAGCTGACAGTGCTTCTATAAAAATAAAAGTTTTGTTTTTCTATTTAGAGATGACCCTGACTCCAGGAGAGGTATCTTATAACAAAATAAAAAAAATTAAGTAAAACTAATAATACAAAGGCCTTATTTGAAAGGGCATGTGACATTCCACATCTATAACACCTCCCCCATCTGTTTTAAATTGTTTATAAAAATTAACAGAAGTCTTATTTTCTCTCCCTCTCATCTCTTATTGAAAAAAGAGAAAAGAAAAATTCATTGTAACAAATTGTATAGCCATACAAAATAAATTCCCTCACTGGCTGTATAGAAACATACGTCTCTTATTTTGTACCCTAAATGTGCCATCTCTCTGTTATGAGTTGTTTCATCATTGGTCCTTTGGTGTCATGGATGGTCATTGTATTGACCAGAGTTCTTAACGGCTCTTGAGAGTTGTTTGTCCAGACGGTGTTGTTGTTATTGTAGGAATTGTTCTCCTGGTTTTGATCCTTTTGTTATTCACCACTTTATAAAAAGTCTCCAAAATTATTTAGTTCTTTTATACTGTTTGTGTTAAGAGCATAAATTGTTCTAGTTTTGCTTACTTTACTCTGTGACAGTTCGTATAAGCTGTTCCATGTCTCCATGAAATTATCTATTTTCTCATATCTTACAGCACAATAGTATTCAACTTATCCAGATATTCCTAAATTTATGGGCATGCTTTTAGTTTCTAGCTTTTTTCTACCACCAAAACAGCTGCAATAAATATTTTTTGTACTTATAGGGCCTTTCCATATCTCTTTGATCCCTTTTGGGTATAGGTCTAGCAGTAGTATAGCCGGGTCAGAGGGTATGTGCTTTTGCTAGGTAGCATAATGGATAAACCCCTGGGCCTGGAGTCAGGAAGACCTGAATTCAAATTCAGCCTCAGACGCTTGCTAACTGCATGACCCTGGGAAAGTCACTTAGTCTCTGTTTGCCTTGGTTTCCTCATCTGTAAAATGGGGATGATAATAATAGTACCTACCTCCCAGGGTTGTTGGGATAATCAAATGAAATAATAGTTGTAAAGGGCTTAGAGCTCTTGGTGCATAGTAAATGCTTTATAAATGTTAGCTACTGTTATTATCATCATCATCATCATCATCATCATTACTATTATTGCTGACTAGAGCAGAAAGTGGGAAAAGAGCATTGTAACTGATTTTCTGAGAAACAGAATTTAAATTTAATCTTGAGAAGAAATATGACGTTTTAATTGGTATCTGGAGTGACATACATGGTAAAACTGTTTCTGGCAGTGAAGAGAGATCATCTACTGTTATACTGAGGATTTTAGGTGACTAGCTATGAACTTTCTTATAGCCAAAATATTATAAATAGTTACTATCATTTTACTTTTGATTTCATTTGTTAATTGTATATAAGTAACTACTTTTGAGAAAGGAGTTTTCTCTATCCAGTAAATAATATTTAATACCCAGGGCTGAGGGTCCAGCTAATTAATTAGCTAGTGAGAAAGCAGTTGCAATTTTATTAATTCCAAAGGAAATATCCAAATGTAGCTCTGGATCATTCTAGAACTCAGGTTTATAAAATTAAATTTGAGAACAAGTCAAATGTCAGGGTGCCCTGTAAGTTAGTTTATCCAAATACAATGTTTGACTATCCAAATATTTTGCATATAATTATTCATGTACATGTTGCTCTCCCATAGAATGCTAGCATCTTGAGGGTAAGAACTGTGCAGTTTTTGTCTTTGTAGCTTCAATAGTTAATAGTGCATGACATACAACAGACCCATAATAATGCTTATTGATTAAATGATTACATTTTTAGGTATGAACAGGGAGTCAGGAGATGAAATGTGGAGTTCATTCAAATAGTTTATGGGACAGGTTGGCTGAAACATAGAATGTGTGAAGGGAATTAGTGTGAAATATCTGGAAAGGTAGGCTGGAGCCAGA